AGTCAACAGTGTGCATCAAGGGCATGTGTAGTAATAGGTTAATGTTGACAACTCTGATGATCAATAAGCCATTTCCTTAACTGAATCTTAAATGAACTATACGTGTTTATATTTCTGATAATTATGGGGGTGAGGTTCCACTCAGCAGCAGCTAGAACAGAAAAAGCAGTATGACCAAATACACTTTTCCTAAAGGGAATGATACAATCTCCCCTAGCTGCACCTCTGGTCCTGCATGAATCAGCTGTTCGGGTATTGACAAACTGTTGGAGGGGAGGGGAAGATAAACCATGAATAATTTTATAAATAAGACATAGATTTGAGTATTTAACCATATTATCCCAACTGAGCAATCTATATTTTTGTAATATTGGACAGTGATGAGAAATACATGGTTTCTTATCCAGAGTTTTAACAGTTCGTTTGTAAAGTGATTGCAGAGGTTTCAAAGATGTAATACTAGCTTGTGCCCAAATGGGTAGACAGTAAGTGATGTGTGAGAAAATCATAGAGTGCATGTACATTTTTGCTGCCTGTGTGGACATTTGATGGCGAATGTGTCTAAAGTTACTGAGACTATATTTAATTCGATTACAGACCATTTTTACATGTGATGAAGATAATAACTTTGAATCAATTAAAACTCCCAGATATTTGTATTCTGACACGATCTGCAATTTTTCCCCTGAAACAAAAATATCTGGCTCAACACTGAAGTTTTTGTGAACAAGCGAGTGAAGGAGCTGGCAGCAGGTGTAAACCTTAGTGCATCCAAACTGCATTGTCCATTGCAGGGAGACACACACACCAGGCTGTAGCCTCTCCCCTACTTCACCGACTTCATCCCTTTTAACATTGGAAGTGTAACCATCTACTGAGGGATCAGAGTAACATGATTATATTAAGATACTAAGAAAGCACTAAAGAGGTTTCTACAAGATGGTCGACACCACCCTTCCTATTAGGCGGCTGGATCAATGTAATCCAGCTCACTGCCGGTCTCAGTCCTGTGGTGTGCGGCTCTAAATAAATGCTTTCAATTTCAGAAATATTTTTGTCTTAATCAATCATGTGACCCTCTAAATGAATCAACTTCACCTCCGTCCACCAGCCTAAACTGATGTCAGAAATTTCACAGGAATCTGCTGCTAGTTTGTGGATTTAGTGGATCAGTGAGACATTAAATTCACGAGAAGCCTCCTGACTTCTTCAGGTAACTCCTGCTCCCTTCTTCATTTCCCTCAGTGCCGAGTTCCTTTCTCTCTCTCTCTCTCTAGTTGAACAGGCCTGACGGACTGGGAGCTTTCTGTTTTTCTGATGGATTTCTTTGTTCCTCTTTTTCTTTGTTCCTCTTTCCCTTCTTAAACTTGCCCATGATCACAAATGCACTGTGTCCGATAGCCTGGTGGCGGCTTTATGTTTTTCAGAGAGAGATATGAGACAGAGGTAAAATGCAAACACAAACGTGGCATTTATTGTCTTCCATACCGACAAGAGGAGACACCAACACCAACAAGCAACAAAAAACTTACACTGAGAGTAACTTGCTGCCTTTTATACACTCCCTCCTGCAGGTAATTAAGTGGGTAAAACTACTCAGGTGGGACCACCATCATTTAGAATAATAAATAATTTACCCAAAAACCCAACACCACAGAAAAATAGAGCCCAAAGAATGAATATTTACATAAATACAAATTTCTATCAGTAAATCAATAAAGCATACTCAAAATAATCACATAAATCAGCATTGTTGATGGCTTTACTCCCCCCCCCCCCCCCAGCTTCATGGTCTGCTCCTGCAGGCCTTAAGCAGGTGCTTGGGCCTCAACACTCCTTTGCCTCCGCCCCCTGCTGAGGAGACAACCAGGAAGAGGTGAGTACTTATATTGTTTGTCTTGTTTAAAGTAATTTAACAACTGAAATGAGTAAAAGCACTCAATACTATGTCGTGAACCTTGACTATCACTGATTAAGTTTTCTTTCCACACAGGCAGGATGGCCAGACCCCCCCGGTGGAACTACTCACAACAAAGACGGCTATCAAATGTTTCACAAATTAAATAAACAATCAAAATAACAATGTGTATGGCTCCTGCTTTATCAATAATCCCCACCTTAATACTCAGCTGACTGTTTCAGGTAACGGAACCCCTGGTCTCCATTACACACTGTAAAATAATCAGAAACACTTTATTGATCCCAGAGGGGAGATTCTTGTGTGACAGTTGCACACATTGCACATCAAGGCATAAGGAATAGAAATAACAGAAAGAAGTTGGATAAAGAAATATATAAATGTGATGGTATAAATATAAAGGAGTATGGATGTGTACATATTTACATTATTGAAGAATTGTAATGGAGAACAGTACGGTGAATCAGAGTATTGCACATTAATTATTGACACATAATGTTGCACAAAAACAGAATAATGTCCAGTTGAATAACTAACAGTCGAGGCTGAGAGCTGGTTGTGGATGAATCAGATGCTCGTGCACATGATTGAGGAACGTCAGTCTTTAATTACAGCCCTATAGAACTTCTGAAATCGGTCATTTTTGATTCATCTTTCACGCTGGCGGTCAGTCTGATCCATTTCACGGTTGTGTGCAGGACACACTTCAGTTACTGAACACAGTCATTCAGCAGCAGCATTTCAAACACTAGTGGTGTTTATCCAGCAGATGCACCAGGCTGGAGTCAGTTTGTGTCACTGATGTGTCTGCCAGGTGCCTCTCTTACGGGGACAAACGTGTACAGGGTTCTGTAGAACTAAAAACTGATGATCAGAAAACATCCATGAAGCACTTAGGTTATTATTAATGAACATATTATCTGACTGTTGTAACACAAACGAATAGCGGACGGGTCTGTGTTCATAATTCCTTCACTTTATTACTTTATCATACTTTCTAGTTCCTGCTTTCTTTTGACAGACCTGGTGAGATGGCCCACAATAAAACTCTTAAGACCTTCTTTGGTTTTGTTTCTCAATCTCTGGTTTCTCATCAGTCGACCGGTCACTCTTATGAGCACTCTTATAAGTACTTGCATAAAAGATGATAAGTGTAAGAAGAGAGTTTTCTGCCCTTAAAATCCTCCCTCTGGCCATATATGGACATCCTAAGTATAGAAAATTGTCAGCACATCAACGAATGTTCTCATTTTACTGTTTAAACAAACGCATCATCAATAAGAAAACTAGCCTTAGCTGCTTTTGTCGAACATAGACATCCTGGAGTCATGAGCAGGCAACAAGTTCGATCTAAACAATCTACATCCTGAAAAGGAGGGACCCAGTCAGTATCTGCCAGATGCTCATCTGATGAGCTGTGTTGACAATCCTGCCTATGAATGTAAACGCTCTGTACTTGTATAGCACCTTTCTAGCCTTTTCCACCACTCAGAGCGATTTTACACCACATCTGCATTCACTCACATTCACACACTGAGCCTAAGTGCTCAAACAGAAACTAACACTCACACACATTCATACACTGGCAGAACAAGTCGTGGTTCAGTATCTTGCCCAAGGACACTTCGACATGCGGCCTGATTAGAGCAGACACAGCAGTCAGGATGACTGACTTCCATTCACTGATCACTGAGTCAAACCAATTAATCATCCAGACGTCTGTGCCAGCGTTCTCTTTTAGTTCTTGGGCTAGAGTTTCCAGTTTAGACAACGCTAAAGTGGAAGAACCGTCGCTGTCAGTGTTATTGGGGATAAACGTGCGACATGAATCACCGAACATGACACAAACGCCTCCTTTCTCCGCCAGTAACATGTCCAACGCCAGCCTATTTTGCCAGGCCATCTGGGAGGTAGCATGCAACTGTGCTCCCAGAGCCCTGAGAGTAAAGTTGCTGCGTAAAGTAAACGTAATTGATCCAATCTACATTCTTGTTAATTGTGCACCACCAACACAGACTTGATTCAAATCCGGCCACGATTTGATTTCTTGCTCTGAACTCATTTGGGACCCCTCGGGCCCCCCGATGGCATCTATGTACACATTAGGATGAGTAGAGGAGAAAGCTGGGATGGAGCGTTTCTGCCTGTAAGGCTGTGGGGCATCGTATAGCCAAGACTACCCTTGCGCATGTACCTCTCCATCCATCAGGCAGTTTGGTGCAGCCGGCCACTCCCACATGACCAGTACAGGTCAGGGATGCCACGGACTTGGTGTGACAGCATGTCAGCGTTTAGTATGCCGTCACTTCTCGGGTCACAACATCGACATGCATTGTAGGAGATGTAGTTTATGGCAGCATAGACTTTTATTTTAGGACAATCATGAATCTTTAGAGCTTTCGCGGGCCACATAAAATGACGTGGCGGGCCGGACGCGGCCCCCGGGCCTTGAGTTTGAGCTTGAGTGCTTTAAATGATCAGAATCAGAAAACTTTATCGATCCCTGAAGTGAAATTCTTTGTTACAGATACTGACTTGCACATTAAGGCATGAAATGAGTAGAAATAACAGTAGAAGTTGGTGCAGTGATAAATAGCAGGAATGAATAATTAGTCTCACTTTATACTTCTTCATATTGTACTTTACTTCACTACATTTATCAGACAGCTTTAGTTTAAAATGAAGACTTTTACACACAAAACATGTGAAGAGTTTATACGAGTACAGCTGAAACGTTTAACTGGTTAATTGTTAAACAATGTGAAGGAGTCACTTTGGGCTCTGTGACGGCATTTCTCACTATTTTCAGAATATTTACAAATCAATCACTTAATGGAGAAAAAAATCAGCAGATTAATCCTGAACTAGAACGGGCATTTCCTTAAGAAAATGCTGTCGGTGCAGTGTGCGGCTCCATCAGCTAAGAGACTCAATGATGTGCTGCACACTTGTTCAGCAAACATATGTGTTAAGTTTGGCCCCCTTTTCGAGCAGGGTTTAACCATCAATCTCTGGATCCGGAGCAAGAGCAAGACCTCCACCACCATCACCACCGCCATCTTAAATGACCTGTCTGTCCAGAGTATTAACAGAAATATTATAAAAACTGGCTACAAATCTTGTGGTTTGCAAGTGAACGCAAATTCCTTGTTGAGCAAAATATTGTAGGTAAATATTAAAATGATTGCAGTGTAGGTGCTGAGCTTCCCAGAAACAAGTTTTGTCAGTAGGTTCTCCATCTCTGATGTACAGCTGGGATCCACTCACAACCTGCAGCTCATACCATCTGAACATGTACCAACATGAGACCATGTACTTTGCTGCTTTTTGTAAAAAGAAATGTGTGTGTGTTGCAGATGAACAGACTCATCCACAGTCGGAGGATTTTATTTGAGGGGTTTTGTGGTTTTGTTCCTCAACCTCTGAACAAAGAACTCTTTGACTGACTCACAACCTAAATCTTGTTTAGCACATTAGATAAATATATGTTCTTTTGTAAGCTATAAAAATGAAATTGTGAGACCCGGCAGATCTGATAAACTGTAATAATTTTGTGAGTTGTCCTTGAATAAACTGAATTTGTATTGTGTGACTTGAATAATAGCACTGTAAAACTTAATCTGAATAGCATCAATTCAAGTTGAATTTATTAGTTTGGAAATTAGTTCAAATAAACATGAAACTGAATTAATTTTCTCTGAACTGTATCATTGCTGAAAATTCAACCTTTCTATATAATTTTCTTTTTTTGTTGTTCTTATTTACAATTGGGAATCAGAAATCGGTCAATGAAAAAACTATTCTTGGACTGAGTATTTGGATATTTATAAAGTGTCCACCTATCTGATTTAATGTAGTCAATAAGGATGAGCGAGTACACGATGATCTGTAATATAGCATACTCTGAAAGGGGGGGGGTTAAACCCGTTAAGTTGTCAAGAGTCAAACTAAAAGTTAAGTTAACACTGCTTTTATTATTTTAAAACGGACTATCAATTGCAAAAACGGAAATGAACCGTCATAACTGACTTATGTTTCCAAAATTTAAAGAAATATAAAACTTCTTGTTGTTTATTTATTTTTTTGTGTTGGATCCATAAATACAAACAAACCTACTGTGAGGGCTGTACTGTGTACATACAGTGGGTACGGAAAGTATTCAGACCCCTTTTAATTTTTCACTCTTTGTTTCATTGCAGCCATTTTCCAAAAATCAAAAAAGTTCATTTTATTTCTCAGTAATGTACACTCAGCACCCCATCTTGACAGAAAAAAACAGAAATGTAGAAATTTTTGCAAATTTATTAAAATAGAAAAACTGAAATATCACATGGTCATAAGTATTCAGACCCTTTGCCGTGACACTCATATTTAACTCAGGTGCTGTCTATTTCTTCTGATCATCCTTGAGATGGTTCTACACCTTCATTTGAGTCCAGCTGTGTTTGATTATACTGATTGGACTTGATTAGGAAAGCCACACACCTGTCTATATAAGACCTTACAGCTCACAGTGCATGTCAGAGCAAATGAGAATCATGAGGTCAAAGGAACTGCCTGAAGAGCTCAGAGACAGAATTGTGGCAAGGCACAGATCTGGCCAAGGTTACAAAAAAATTTCTGCTGCACTTAAGGTTCCTAAGAGCACAGTGGCCTCCATAATCCTCAAATGGAAGACGTTTGGGACGACCAGAACCCTTCCTAGAGCTGGCCGTCCGGCCAAACTGAGCTATCGGGGGAGAAGAGCCTTGGTGAGAGAGGTAAAGAAGAACCCAAAGGTCACTGTGGCTGAGCTCCAGAGATGCAGTCGGGAGATGGGAGAAAGTTGTAGTAAGTCAACCATCACTGCAGCAATCCACCAGTCGGGGCTTTATGGCAGAGTGGCCCGACGGAAGCCTCTCCTCAGTGCAAGACACATGAAAGCCCGCATGGAGTTTGCTAAAAAACACCTGAAGGACTCCAAGATGGTGATAAATAAGATCCTCTGGTCTGATGAGACCAAGATAGAACTTTTTGGCCTTAATTCTAAGCGGTATGTGTGGAGAAAACCAGGCACTGCTCATCACCTGTCCAATACAGTCTCAACAGTGAAGCATGGTGGTGGCAGCATCATGCTGTGGGGGTGTTTTTCAGCTGCAGGGACAGGACGACTGGTTGCAATCGAGGGAAAGATGAATGCGGCCAAGTACAGGGATATCCTGGACGAAAACCTTTTCCAGAGTGCTCTGGACCTCAGACTGGGCCGAAGGTTTACCTTCCAACAAGACAATGACCCTAAGCGCGCCGCTAAAATAACGAAGGAGTGGCTTCACAACAACTCCGTGGCTGTTCTTGAATGGCCCAGCCAGAGCCCTGACTTAAACCCAATTGAGCATCTCTGGAGAGACCTGAAAATGGCTGTCCACCAACGTTTACCATCCAACCTGACAGAACTGGAGAGGATCTGCAAGGAGGAATGGCAGAGGATACCCAAATCCAGATGTGAAAAACTTGTTGCATCTTTCCCAAAACGACTCATGGCTGTATGAGATCAAAAGGGTGCTTCTACTAAATACTGAGCAAAGGGTCTGAATACTTATGACCATGTGATATTTCAGTTTCTCTTTTTAATAAATTTGCAAAAATTTCTACATTTCTGTTTTTTTCTGTCAAGATGGGGTGCTGAGTGTACATTACTGAGAAATAAAATGAACTTTTTTGATTTTTGGAAAATGGCTGCAATGAAACAAAGAGTGAAAAATTTAGAGGGGTCTGAATACTTTCCGTACCCACTGTATTTCACAGCAACTTGCATGTTTTCACTTGAAAAGAAGCTTGCCAAAGAATTACTGCCATTTTTATTTAAAAATGTTTGTGAACGCTGCAGATTCTGTTAGATACCATTTCAAAATACTGTAGGGAATATTCTGTAATTAATATTGACTCCATCCACTCAATTAACAAGGCTGCCAAGCAGTTAAAAGAAATATGACTTGTTTTGTACGACATAACCTGTAAGCTGAAATATCTACTTAATAAGGTTATAAGAATATATGAAACTCTGCATTTGTATTTGCTCGACTTAGGCATCAAAAATGCCATCCGTTTTAACATCATTTGTCCTACTGTTCACCGTATTTATGAGAATAAATCACATTGCATGCATGTTATATACAGATCAAATAAAATTCAATTTCCAATTAAACTGTACAACATATTTGAGGCATTATTTTGCAAAAAAAGAAACATTTGCGTTTATTATCCTACATCATGGCTCCTTTTGTGTGCGCTCCAGAGAGTATCAATTAAACAGTTGGGTGTTTTTATCTCATTATAAAATGATTTTTTTTCACTTCAGGGAAAATCAATGAAACGGGTGTTTATTATTATGGCTTTTATCTGTTTTTGTACATCAATTTTACATGAATTATGTAATAGTCATCTGTCACCTGATCAAAAAACATTCATTTCAAACATACATAGATGAACCACTGCTGTACTACAGAGAGGACTTTTGTCATTGTAGCCATGCAACCACATTTTGGTAACGCTCCAATGCTGCTGTTTAACTGAGAGCACCGCGGCGCCACATTTTTTCATGCTTATTATACATTGCATCATCAGTCTATCACCAAGTCAGTGTTTAACCTTACCTTTCCCTTCCTCTCCACCTGCCATCTGTCAGGAGAAAAGAATTTATGGCTTAGTTGAGTATTATTACCATTGTTGATCTACCCACCAGCTATGGAGATAAAATTTTGTTCCTTCATGTTGTAAAGTAAGTTTTCTGGCAATCTGCCATCCTGTTATAGATATCACTAAATATGTACGTTACCCTTCACCTACATGTGCATCTAGTTTATGTTATGCTTCTTACTGTCAGGATTGTGGGTGTGGTTGAGAAGGTCGGACCCAAACGCAGCTACAATGCCCGGACAAAGACAAAGACGAAGCAAGGATATATACACCAGGTTAAAGAGCTGGGAGGAGACACACAGGTGAGGGACACGAGGCAAACAAGACACAGGCAGGCAGAGCGAGCAGGGGAAACAGAGAGACTAGCAGGCAGGCGGATTACTGAGGGGGGAAAAGACAAAACACAAGTTACTCAACACTAAACATCAGACTAATATAAATAAACTAATACAAGCAGAGAGATCACAAATAAACTTACAGCAACAAGGAACACAGACAGAAGCTGAGGTTAAACAGAACCAGAACAACACAGACCAGGAGTAAACAAGACATGAACTAAAGACACAGGACTAGGAACTAAGATACGAGACAAGACAGATACTAAGTAACTTAAAGACGTGGATGAATAATGATAATATTAATAACAATAATAATAATAGCTGCACAGAGACTAGAGCAGAATGATCAAAATCAGATTAATTAATGAAACTGGCAGAGAACATAAATAGACAAGCAGACAGAACTCAAGCATGATGGTACAGAAACTAATACATGAGACTGGAACAGAACTGAAATCAGGAAAATACCAAAACACCAGCTGACGGATATTAACCAGACAAACAATAACATGAGGCAGAGGACGCACACTAAAGGTAGCAAGCAACCTAAAACAGTGTCTAAACTAACAGCACAGCAAAAGGGATTCTAACTAATGGAGACGAGATAACAGAACAACAGAGACCACGAAGACTGGATACAAACCACAGACTATAACAGATAGCTAACTGATAAATAAAGAAACTCAGGGAACTAAAGGGAACAGATGACAGAACTAACATGCAGATACAAAACCAAACCCCCAGAAGAAGACGCTTTGAGCATCCGTCCCATTGGAGAGCAGAAGGACCGCTGTCAGACGGTATTTTCCTTGCTGTCGTTTACAGCTCTCAATGCAAAAACACAAACAACGATATGATTAACACTACATTTATTTAAAACCTGTCAAGTTTCAGATACTGAACTATTCACATTTGCATTACAATTACATGAAACAAGACGTTAATTGAGCCGAGTTCTGGGAGCTGAAAGCTTTGTAACACAGATATATAAATCACAACAGAAACATTTCTTTCAAACTGTCATTACAAGTTACAAAAGCAAATAAATGAAAAATATTAAGTCCAGATTAAAGCTCAATAGTCCAAACCATGCCGTGTAAATCAAACCATCGAAGACCATCTTTACTGCTCGTCTGATGAACCAGCCAAAAGGTGTTTATTCTGTTTGGAGAAAACACAAATGAATTGTATTAAGAAGTGAATTCATTATGAGAATAACATTTTACAGAGCTGATATTTGGTGTCTAGTCTCCTCCCAGAAGGATACACCAAGCTCACCAGAGAAAGAGACCGAGGACGGCACAAACCAGACCCAGAGCCGAAGTACACTGAAGATGTGGACAGAAGTGTCCAAATACTTTTGGCACCAGATTTTCAATAAACTCCCGCAGCATGACAGAGCGTGAGAGAGAGAGAGCAGTGTGTCGACAGCTTGAACATTTCACCTGATTAAAAAGGTGTGTTGGATTTACAGTGCGCTGCAGAGAGGAGAGTCTATTTCACTGCTTTCCATTTTCAAGGGCCTGTAGGGGTGAATCTTTCAGCAGCTCATCATTCTAGTTTGATTCTTGACAAGCTAATGATGGTTCTCATTTGTTCAATCTTGAGTAACTGTTTAGCATGTTTCCTCATGCTTCAGCCATTGTTAGTTGTGTGCGAGCGTAGTTTTTCAGAGACTGTTACTCAAAGAAGCAAGAACAGGGCCTCTATGTGTGAATATTTGTGTTCTCTTTCATGAACTTTTGTCATTTGAACTCTATAAATTCATGCAAGTATTTGTAAGTATGCACTAAGTAGTTTCAACAATACCAGTCAAGTTCACCTCGCGCTGTGAGTCCTGTTGCAACGAGTTTTGCGATACAAACATCTAAAAACTGAGGTCTGTTGGTGTCAACCAGCAATAACGTAATGCACAGCGGAGTACAGGGCAGGTAGATTTCTCAAAATACTATAAATTCTCATTAAAAAAGAAAGATTTGAACATGAGCAGAAAACTGGCTGAAACACAGGAGCTATTAAAGTCCAGGAGTTTATAAGTGAATTAAAATGAATTTGTTTCTCATTGAGGTGAAAAGGAACCACATGCACATTTAAAGAGTTACTTCCCCCAAACAAAGACACAAAAGAGGAGGGAAGGTTGAAAAGTTGATCTACAAGAGAAACATATTTAAAAGCAATAGTTACAGAATGCATATCCAGAGAGCCTTACTGCATTATATTCTATACAGTTTTTAGATTTTGAATTGTTGCTTTCTGCCTGAATATTGTTTTCCTTTATACAGAAAAATACATTTCCACCATAAATTGTTGCAGACATTTTCACATGAATGCAGGAAATAAAGTGTTTAATGCTTAAAGTTTTGGGGGGGAAGGACCCCCAGACCCTCCTCTTCATTTGTCCCCTCCACCGATAGGCTGGGGCTATGTGCAGAGGCTGATCTCACTTCGTCATGACCGACACGGGCGAAATACATGTTTTAACCATCCTGTCATTCTGTGTGGTTTAAAATAAATGGGGGGGGGGTCACACTGTGGCCTCCTTTAGCAGATTTGTTTGTAGAAAACTTCTCAACTAAACACAAAACAAACTTGAATCTGAGACCTCATTACAACTTTTTTGTTGTAGACCTTCCAACAAAGTGGATGCTGATTTGAGTCTTTACCTGGTTCTCTGGAGCTCGTCCCCCTTGTTTCTCTGCAGTTTTCAGTTTTATCAGTTCTCTGGCAACAACCCCCCAATTTTCACCACGTATTTCCTCCTTGATCTTATTCATCTCTTCCTTTGCTACATCCCTCAGAATTTGTTTCAGTGCGTTTTCCTTCTCCTCCAAAATCAGTTCGTCATACAGAACATTTCTGTTGCAACAAGTTGATTCTCCACAGCATTTACTCCATCCAAACGATGACATAAGGGATGCCACAAACACGATGCCAAGGAATAGGAAGCTACCGATAACCTGAAAGAGAAACACAGATAGTTATATTATAACAACATTTCTGAGAACTAGCTGATCAAGCTGAACATAAAAGGTAACACTCTGACATGATGGAAACACTCACCCTGGAATCGTTTTTCAGTTCAGCGACGATGACTCGCTCCTTGTGAGTGAGGTTATTCTCCTTGGCTTTGCAGGCTAACTCTGCCTGTTGTTCAGAGCCATCATTCTGGCAGCAAACATACCAGTCTGCTTCGATTAACACAAAAGCAACCCAGAGCAGACCGACTAAAGCTGCTTTAAGAAGCTTACGCAAAGAATAACCCCAAAAACTGCCACAGCCTCCGAATGCACACAGAAACTTACAGCCTCTCTGAAAATACCTGTCTGTCCAGAGTATCAAGATGAATATTATTAAAACAGGCAGACCAATGTATAAATTACAGTCAAAATCTTGTTGTTCGCAGCTGCATGCAAAGTCCCTGTCCAGCAAAATACTGTAAGTAAACATCAGAATGATTGCAGCGTAGGTGCTGAGCCTCCCGGAAACTAGATTTGTCAGTAAGGACTGCATCTCGGATAATCAGTTGGCTTCAACTCACAATCTGCTGCTTATATCCTCTGAACATATACCAACATGAGACCATGTATTTCCTGGTTGTTTTTTTTAATCTGTTGTGTGTGTTAGACATGAACAGAAAGCGAATGATCTGCCCAGCCAGAGATAAAAAAAAACACATCATTTAGCTTCAGACTCACATAAAATGATGTACAGTTAATAAAGTGCACTAAACTGTAACTAGGGAATAACGTGAAAATGGTAAAATTTGTATTTAGGCATTTTGTGGTAACATTTTAGGGCTGGGCCATATATTATATTTATTCAGCTCATTCAGATTTCAGTCTTTGCACATGAACACTGCCAACATTGAGTTTTTCAGTCCAAAAGTAACAGATAACAGCTGCTGCAGGAGTCAGTGCAGCAAACTGTGGCTCTCTAGCAGTCACATCTACAGGAAGTAAAGTCTCAGCAGAGGTGAAGCACTGAACAGCTGCTGGATTTGACTTTGTCCATTACTTCCTTCACTGCTGTGGACAAAGTAATGTGTTTGTACTGCAGGCAGAACATTGTTATGGGCGACAGCCATAGTCCTTCATCCTGAGTAGTGCCCAGACTGGCAGGCAGGCTGCTTTCTGTTTCTGCTGCTATTCTTTCTTCCTCTTTCTTTGTTCTGCTGTGATTTTCCAAACACCACAAATGCAGAAATTAGCTTGAATGTGGTCTCGTGTTTAAAGATGTGAAAAATCGTTCAGAAATCAGCTGATGCTGGACAGGTGTCCTGTTGTTTTGAAATCTTTCAGCACAGTAACCTTGAGGAAGGTTAGACTGTACAACGCGCCAATCAGTAACCACAGGGGTCCTAGTTTAAAGGGGCATTATGTAGTTTTCAGCGGCCACTTCTACCAGGCGTGTCCTCGTACGAAACTCAGGTAAACACAGTAATGTCAGCTCAGCTACATGTTTTGGATGATAATGAAACTGTCAGTGAGCTGGACTGCATATTATAACGAGACTGTGCCACACTTTATAACAGTTAGAGCGCAGTCAGTAACTTTACTGTAGGGTTAGTGGATGGCTCCTCCTCTGGGTTGGATATTATGTGGGTCATGTTAGTTACAGCGACTGAGAGGTGGAGAAGCTGCGAAACAGCGGCGGGTCTGAGCTACTGTAGCGTTAGCTGGCTGCTCGTGGCTGCATCACTATGAGATAGTAAACAAATCGCTCCACATTAGCTTTTTACCATTACATCGTTTCTTGCAGGCTTTGACACTTTGACAGAGTAACATGGGTTGCATTAGTTAATGCAGTAATGTGAAAGCGATATAACTTTGCACCGGACAACATTAGCAACTGCTCGGCGTTAACCGGCGAGCTAACGCTATCTAACTTGAGCCAACTGAAGCACAAAATCAAAATATGTTTTACATTTTTTGTAGTAATGTTAGCTTACCTGTCCAATAGGATGAAAGCAAACCCCGGGTCTGTTTTTATACTCAAAACAAAGCGGAGGTTTCTCCATGATTCAAAAGCCCTGCCGATGTTGATCCGTGTTTTCGTCCGAAGTCAATCCGATTCACATTGGGCTTGATTTTTATCCTTATGTGGAGTTTGTGTTGGAGTCTGTGTGCTGGGAGAAGGTCGTTTCTTAGTGTTAGCAGACTCCATGTCGTAAGTTGCAGTGTCGTCGCTGCTGAGTGCAAAGTCAGTAGACACAGCGAGATGCTCGGGAGCGCGCATGGAAAATCCAACCCGGAGCCTTCAAATAGGAACAGGAAAACTTGCCAAATATAGCTAATATAGCTAATATAGCTAATAGCCAAACCCGGCAAGTGGATCATTTTAATGTCAGATTACAACCCCTTCACACAAAGGCAATAAAAAAAGGATTCATTTTAGTAGAAAAACTACATATAGCCCCTTTAACAATCAAAGCGCACAACATGAAGCGTGGGGCGTATCCTACTCCAATTTAGCTAGTTTAACGGCAGAAAAAATGGTCATTGCTTCAGGCGCATGGTTCAAAAGGGTGGTATTTAGTTTGTGAATTAGTTATGGGTGTGTTTTGGACGTAACATGCAATAAACCAATCAGAGTGCCATTTCCCATTCCCTTTAAAAGCCAGGTGGGCTTCTACCTCAGCGCATTGCTACTACAATGGCGGACGAATGGCGCATTGGTAAAACCAGCAGATTTACTTTTATGATCAGAGAGGCTGCTGTCAGTCGTTTTAAAGTGTTTCCATGTGTGCAGTAAAGTCACAGCAAATACCGTGGGGCATTTAAACAGCAAAACAACCGATCCTGTCGGACTGACCAGGATTTTAATAATCAATAAAGTTTCGCTGCTGTGCCTCGTGCGTAAATGCGCACAGCGTCTCTCTTACCGTCGCAGTAATGCATCCTTAAAATAACAAAAAACAGTGTAATACTGCGCCGCTGACTTTAGATGTGTCTGATAATGGCACAATCTCTTTCTGCTGCTTCAACACAGCAATGCGCCACAATTAGCCTGACCACACCTCATTTAAGACTGGCACTCCAACGGGCGCACAACTGGGCGATTTAAACAGCGCAGGTGCCGGGTGTGAAAATAACAGTGACACTTGGTGCACCTGGTGCAGTTAGGGCCCCAGGTCTCCAAACAGCAGTTACCAGAGCTCACAGGTGGCAAGACTGAAGAGTAACATCCAGGTACAGGTTTTGTAGATGTTGTAAGATGTTACTAAAGTGCCACATCTTAATGATGGCACCTTTCATTAGCCGTCCAGATAATGCAAACTATCTGAGAATACTAGAAAACAGATTCAGTTCCTCATGCTTCAGCTAAACTGAACGTAGTTTTTCAGAGACTGTTGTACTGTGTTAGTTCAGTTTACAGTTACTCAAAGGGTGTGTAGTGAACCACTTAGCGTGAACAGGAAGTGTTAACTTTCGTCATTTGTACACTCTATAAATTCATGCAAGTATTTGCAAGTACGCATTAACATTAAGTGGTTTCTAGAAGAAGAAGCTGGCGATGAGATGAAGACTTTAGAGTTTTCTACACGTCACTAAGCCTTAGTTATTGTGTTTTTTCTTGAGGTTGGACACGAGTTATAAATGATATACAGAGCCAGCCAGTGGCAGAAGAAATACACAGATCATCAGTAAACGTACTAATACCACTCTGTCAGATTTAAATACATGAACGTAAGTGTTGAGAGCAAAATGTAAACATGAGTATCATTAAATCAGTATATTAAAATGTTCCCTGTTAGTGTGGAATCATTATATCTGATGATTGTGGGTTAGTAAGACTGCTGCATTTATGTCTGTGTTGGGATGTTTGAGCTCGTACTGTTTTGTAGTATCACTGTCTTTTGAGAACCATGTATCGCTACAAAGAAACAGCTTGTTTATCCAAGAGAGTTCTTCATTTATTTTAACAAACACATGGTTTCTACAGGATTATTCTATGCTGCAGTGGAGTATTTGGATTTTGTTGCATAAAAGGGAAATACTAAATTACAAGTACTAAGATTATCAGAAAATTCCTTTTCTTTATTGTTTACTACTCAGTATTTTAGAATAAAAGACTGAAATTGTAGAGTTTTCACTTTTATTTCTCACACTTTGAGCACCTGAGTATTAATAAAGAGATAAATTATGCACATGTGACGTTGCTACCATAGCGCACCCCACAATGATGTTCAAACTCAATTTGAAGCCTACATCTCTCTCCGTTGTGGACCTGACCAGTACTAAAATGACGTGTTTCTCCATCTCTCTCCCAGGTCCATGCTCAAGTCTTTTCCACATTTGAATAGGCCTGGGAAACTGAGAAGTTAAAGGAAGTGCGTAGGATAAAAAAGGTATTTAAGAAGCTGTTATATAACATTAATTCTAAAACATTTTAAACATATTAGGTTCCAGCTCAAGGAGACCCTGAAGTTAACTGAAGAGTTTTCACAATGACCATGAGAACACACTTTATCAGGTCCACCAGATCCAAACCTGGCCATATTGTGTATTAAGTGCTGTAGGAGCAGGACCAAAAAGAAGCATATTGAGTATGAAAATATAAGAATATAAAACTTCTTGCAGTTGATATTTTATTTTACTGTTACTTTTTATTGATATGTGTAGTGAACAACGGTGTGGATTTGTGCATTTTATATTGAATAAATTTGGAGCTACTCAAAATTCCTCTCTCCTCTCCCCAACGAAAGGGGGGTGAAAGTTGCTTTCTCTAAGTGCTATCCCGACCATAAAACTGGCACCCTTTTGATTCCGCAACTGATAACGCGGGGCCTGACTGTTAAACTGACAAAGGGACACGAACCAGCGATTAGCATCTCCCTGAACAGCCTATCAAAACTGGTCTCCCCACACATGTTTCCGTGGCAACTGACCTTGTTCTTTGTTTTATTACGACATCAAAAGGGATACCCCTTGTCTCACCCAGTGTGACATGGTCCAGAGAGCCGAACTTTAAATAACCAAAGACTGCAGTCTCCAAAGACTCAAAGCATTTAATTAAGTTAATTAAATCTTTAGTTACCTGGTTACGTTTGCCTCTATTTGAGTAGTTATGTTAACTGTTGTTGCTATCTGTTGTTGATATTAGTGCTGAAAAGAAGTTACTTGTGCAGTGTTTTTATTTTCAGCAAGACACTCCTTCATCTGATGTAATCAATGCTTGTTCATAATACTTTCCTACAAAATTTCTTTAGAAATGATGACAAATGTTTTACTATACTCTTAACCGCCAGCTTGAATTTAAGGATGAATCAACAATATTCCCAGTTCCTAAGGAGAGATGATCTTGGATTAATCCAAGCTTTCCTCATGTAACCTGAGCTCCCCCAAGTGGACGAAATAAGTATTACATGCCCTCATCGGAAATGCCGTTAAATGTATAAATATCCTGACCAATAATGTGACAATTGTTTCCTGTTACCAAATGCTTAGAACAGTACAACCGTTCAACCATTGAGGTTCGATTGTGGAAAATGTTTGATTATAATACGTGCAAATAGATTTCTTTTCTTTTAGACATTAAGTTTAGAAAGGCAGTCCCTCGGGAAACCTGA